GTGGCTTGGTGTTGGAGTTTGATCCTGAGCGTAGATAAACGTTCGAGCTGTTGAAGGTAAATGACTCAAGGTGCGAAAGTAGCGCAAGTAGTGTGTCGAAGTGGTGACTGGAGTGTTGCGAGTACGCGCCTGAGTTGTTGCCTGTAAACAGGAAAAAAAAAAAGGTTCTCAACAAGGAACTTGCAAAGGGTCAGGAACCAGCTGTGTCCAGATTGATGAAGTCCATAGAGCTCTTGAGGAGTTTGCAGAAAAGTTTCTCTCCATCTGGAGTGAATCACTCATGGCCTTTTGGTGGATGCATGAAGATGACTTCTTTGAGAAAAGCACCAGGTCAAAAGCAAGGCTGATTGCAATAAGTAGTCAAATGGCCTGGATCCAGACGACAGGAGAAAAGGTGTCTGTGTAGTAGATGCCTTCGCATTGGGTGTTTCCACACGCAACAAGTCAGGCTTTCCACCGCTTCAGCCAGCCAAAAGGATTGAGCTTGTTGGAATAAACCCATTTGCAGAACATTGTGTGTTCGCCAGGTTCCCAGACCTTGTGCTTGTCCATCAGAGAGTGAAGCTCCTCAAACTCAGATGCAGCCCATTCTTTGTTGTAGTCTGATGCATGGGCTTCCTTGTGGGAACGTGGCACTGGTTAATCGATGGTAAGAGTCAAGTGGTGGCTCAACAGGCTCGAAAGGAGGAGAGTCGTCAGTTTCAGGAAAATCCGTAAAATCATCAGAGAGAGAAGTTGAGAAATCAGAATTAAGAGATTGAAGCTTAGCGTCACTGCGGACAAGGCCAGCAAAGACATGCTCATGCAAGTTATAGTGGCGTGTTTGAAGGATGGTCTGTGCAGCAAAGTCGTAGCTGAGGGCAATAGTCTCGCTGTTGTGTCGAAACCCAAGAAGAGTCCAAGTGAGGCCTGAGGAGAGAACTTGGTTGTGCATGAGTTTGCAGTTTCTGTATACTCATTGTTGAGTGTGGCAATGAGGCAGCCAAAAATTCCGAGATGGTGCAGGTTGGGTTTTCGGCCTTGGTGATATTCAAATGGAATTCGACCAGTGCGAGTGTGTTGCACGCGATTGTGCAGAAATGAAGCATGGCGTATTGCATAGGATCAGAAGAACTGTGGAGGCTAGGCTTCAATCACGAGACAGGAAGCAATGTGGGTGATGACCTTGATGGCATTTTCTGCAACACCATCACCCTCCTTGACATAAGGGACTGAAGGCTGAAAGATGATGGGAGGTTAGTGGTTGATACAGTAGGCCTCAAACTGCTGAGTGTTAAGACTGAGGTTGTCTGCCTGTACAAATAGTGTTCGACAAGTGGGGAAGAGTTGTACTTCAAAATCAATGCAATCAATTATCTGCTGTGTGAGCGACAGTGTTGACCCAAGTATAGCCTGTGGCATAGTTGACAATAACTTCAAAGTTGTTGAAGCCTTCAAGGGAATGTGTACGGATCTTGCCAGTTTGGTCGGTACACAGCATCTGCAGTGGAGCAAAATCAAAATGAGGCTTGGCCGTGAGGTGTTGCTGGCACATCTTTGCCATATCGCAAATGGGCAAGGCTTGTGTGTTGTTGGTGGTGGAGCAGGAGCACTGTCGACATCACCAGACTTGAGAGTGTCGCATACTTGCTCTCAGTGGATGTGGCCAAAACGTTGGTGCCTGAGGTCATGTATAGTGGCTGGTGATGTGTAGGCAATGGGTTCAACTGAAATTGTCCTCTGTGCAGTTGGGTGCTGGACTGGGAGATAGTAGAGGCTGTTGCGTTGTTTGCCAATCTTGATGCTGTGTTGAGGTACTAGTGTAGTAAGGTCAAGAAGGAAGACAGAATCAAGAGTGAATAGTATCCCAGCAGTTGGGTCTTGGAGGACACGCAACACAGAGAGAAGCAGTTCCTTGAGTGAAGGGACATGTAGCACGTTGCGGAGCACCACATCAAAACCAGGAAAGGCAAGAGTGACAGATCCAATTCGTTCAATGCGGCATTTGTGGTCATCTGCTAGGCGGGCATGGTGTTCAGTTTCAAATCGTTGGTACTCAGTGAATTGCTCCAGTTGTGGGATATTGTGGAATCAGCTCCAGAATTGATCATATAAGGAAGAGAGGCAATGCCTGTGTGTGACATGTTCACTGTTGCAGTGTTCACAAAGAAGTAGAAGGGAGCGGGACTGTTTATTTGAGAAGAAGCAGAGACAGAAGGCCCTCCTGTGGAAGGTTGGGGTGAAACCCACTCTGGATGAACAGTCACTGAAGTTGCTTGATCTTGCACACATAAGAATTGAGGTCTTGGTAACGCAAGGGGCTTTGAGTGTCTGTGCATAGCTGCAGCCCCGACCATCTGTTTTCAAAATCATCAATTGAGCTGGATGGGTGGGCATTGTTAAATGTTCGGCAAATGGCAGCCACACAGTCTTGATAGAGGTGAATGTATCGGCAGAGCTCAAACAAGTGCGAGGTCTCTGGAAGCCTGATCAAAGCTGACTGAGCTGTTTTGTTCTCCTTGATGAAGGTGGTGTGCATCTTCAGCACAGCATTCATGAACTCTGATGAAGTCATGATGTGATGCTGAATCTGGTACTTGACAGTTGCTTCAACAGCCACAATTCACAATTGGTCCAGCATTAGCTTGCTCAGCAGCAGTTGGTACATAGAGATAGTTTGGTGAGAGTGTTTCACCAGCCTTTGGCTCTGGTGTGTTGTGCGCACCATTTCAACTGTGCAACCACAAACGCCATCTGTCCCACTGATCCTTGGGTTGGTGTGTGATGTACGTATGGTAGGCCTCCTCATTGCAGAAAGGTCTCTCAAGAGGGAATAGGTCCGTCTGTGTTAGGTCCTGAATTCCCAATAACCTTGGTCTAGAGGTTGCTAATAAAGTCATTGAATTCGTCAGTGTCTTGCCAGTGAACATGCCAACAAAAGAGTTTAGGTTGGACGACATTGCGTTGCGCGTAGTGATGATCCTGTTGCAGGAGAACCCAGTAGCTGGAAAATTTGGAGGAGTTGCTCAACAGCACGGTGGTGACAAATAGTGACTCAAAGAGTTGTTTGATGCTGTACTTGATGGAGAAAATGGTCCAGGAGAGAAGTGTGTTGCACACAATGCTTGTTGCAAGCTGACTGTTGGATGAAGAATTCTGAAATCGGAATAGCAGGTTGGCACAGTTGAAGAGTGACCATGTGCCAAATTTCAGGCTGAGAATCAAAGTTTTGGTGGTGTTGTGCTCGAGGGCCGCTCAGGCAACGAACTTTTTGGTGTGCAGTTGGGGTGACTTGTCACGGAGGAAACGACAAAAATGGTGGATGGAGGTAGTGGAATCTCTTGTAGCTCCAGCTGCAGGAGTCGTTGGGAGAAGTGCTTAAAACCAATTGAAAGCGTGGAAGCAGAGCTATTCAGATGGGTAAGGGTTATTGGGTCCTTCTCCCCAACTTGGAAAGTAAGAGAAAAAGAAACTCTATTATGAATAATTGATACATAATGATGATATGCACGCTATAATAGTTGCTAGGTAAAGCATGACTGGCACAGGATAAAAACCTCTCCTATATTATTTGCTTGGCAGAGGAGGAGGAAAACTGTTAACACTGGGTTTCTGTTCCACTCAATACTTGGAGAATTTGTCAACAGGGTAAGCCAGCACCCAGGTCTCCATTGGTGGTGGTTCATTCTCCCCATGGAATCGTGAGAACAATAACTGACCGCCACAATAGGGTCAGGTCTGTCTTGCACCTCCTGCTGCTAACCAGTCAGTTCCGCCTTACACATATTGTGGTCTCTGTCAGCGTGGAGGGTTACGTCGTGGAATTTGATCAACTTGACAGATCATTCTGAAGGCACAGGCGTAGGTGCAGGTGCAGCTACAGCTGAGCACACACCTAGCTGTATGGGTGGTCACCTGCATGTGGGTGCTCACACCAGCGCAGCGTCTTGCAGATACCAGGAGTACCCATGGGTACATATAAGGCACTGAAGGCACTGAGGCCTGTTCTGGAACAACCCAGTGCTGAACTGATGTTTCAAAAAATCCCAGACCGAGGCCTCAATTTGAACCTTACACATAGGTTGAGGCCAACAGCTTTTGGGTTGCATCAGTAACCCTAGCAGGCACCCAACACTGCTGCCACAATAGGGATCTCAAATTTTTCTACCCAGCCACCAGCAACCAGTAACTGCCAATTTGAAATCGCAGTATTGGTATTATTACTAATCCTGGCATGCAAGAAAGTGGAGACTCGATCTCCACTGGAGCAGATTGGGCAGGCGCTGGTACTGCCCACATCTGTCCTTGCGAATACTGTCTGGTCACAGTTACGCAAAAAGAACACATATATCAGCGCATATTTACCAAAAAAATACTGTGTATGCGCCCTCCATCGGACATCTGGGACTTGAACATGGACACAGACATGTCAAAACCATGTCTGTGTATTCCAGGATCCAGAGATCCAAGTATTTATTCCAAATCTGGAGGATGCCAGCCTAAAAGAATCTCTGTGTTGTCTTCACATACCACTAGTTTGTAAGGCTTATTGCAATACAATAAATGCAAAATTCTCCAGTATTGGTTGTGGATTTGGATCCTTAGTAGGGTTTTACACGAATCAGGCAGTATTTGAAGCCCAATTCGACTTGATTTGAGTTTTTGGACTCAAATTATTACTTTTAGCAAGGGCTCAGGCATTTAATTTGATAAAATGACCACTTTTTGGCCAAACGACCTTAAATCAGCTGGATATCTGAAAATTTACTAATGAAAATAAATTGAGCTCAAATAGAAGATTTGACAAGTTGAAGAAATCATTATAACCAAATGCGAACAATGCCAAAGTCCGACCTGATTCAATTCGTGGTAGATCCTGCTGACCGTTAGTCATTTCTGCCACCCTCCAATTAACAGAGAGCGACCACCAAGGACAGGCACCAGCAACAAGATTTAGGATCCAAAATGGCAATAGAGGGAAACAGCCAGGTCGCTTCTGCCCTGGTTTCAATGCTATCCAACAACAACAGGAGGACTCGAGCCTGCGCACCCAAAGAGTATCAGATTTCGAGTCTGTTGCCTTAACCACTTGGCCACGTTGTCCACAGGACCTGAAGTCATTGTGACTTTATTTGCCTTATTGCTATGCAGCTGTTGGCAGAAAGCCCTCACCTGGAGTGAACTGTTACGACAGCCAAACAGTAGCCAAACATCCTAAGGCAGCCCTGTGGAACTGCAACCCTGGTCTTGCTGGGAGACGAAGACACCCTGTTGCATCACGCTGATGAGGCCAAAACTCCACGGAGTATGTGAGAAAAGAAGGGACCATCGCTCTGGATCAATTCCTATCAACTTGTCAGTGTAAAAGCGCGATGATGCGGTGTCTGGCCTGTGGAATGAACCCTTGGGAACCTTGCCAAGCACTTGCACATCGCTTGAATACCATCAGGAGAGTACAAATTGAGTTGGACAATCTTGAATACAGTACTACCAACTTGTGAATACTCCAATAGTGGAGGCAGTGGGGTTCGAACCCACGGCATCTCGCATGCAAAGCGAGCTATCTACCACTGATATATACCCCCTCATTTCTGAGGCTGACCTTACAATCCTATCCAGAAAACGTTGGGAACCAACTTGATTTCATTTTGAGTTGGTTTCAAGTCGAAATCAAGTCTGCAGCAACGGGCCAGAGACTGACTTATTTAGCCGGCCACTTGTCTATCTGTCTTCCTCCTGCGATGTTGTTTGTGTGCCTGTCTCTGGGCCAGTCCTCAGTGACTTGATTCTGACTTAAAATCAAATTGAAATCAAGTCGGTTCCCCAAAGTTTTAGGGATATTGATGTAAACAAATCGCAGATAATCAAGTACCAAAAACAAAGAAACCTCTTAGAGTCCATCACGGTACTGGCCTGCTGACCGAATGCTGCCCCTACCTTGTTATACTCTTTCTCTCCAAGTTGGGGATAATTGTATGATGTGCTTGCATCAAATCCAGCCAAGTGTCTGGTGGAAGGAGGTTTACAGCAAAATCCAACAGTCAGAGATTCCTTAAGAGGGAGAGACTACTACTCACTTTTGGCAATGCAGCTACTGGGCTAAATGTGCAATGCACAATTGAGCAGAGGGGAATCAAGCCCACGCCTCTGGAGAGACCAGAGCCTTAATCTGGTGCCTTAGGCAGTTAGGCCAACTTGACCATCTGGCCATGGACATGCAGCCAGGTGCTTAGGGTCCACTCTGGCAGCTACTGCACTTTGGTCTTGCTGCGCATGTGCTACTGCTTGTGAATCCCGGCACTTGCACACAAGTTTGTTCAAATTTGATTCTTCAAAAGGCAAACGGTGAGCTAAGCGCAGGCATTGTTGCCCATTGCAGGTATTGCAGGCGCGTCCCGCCCTCATTAGGGGCAGCCTGCAGCAGTCCTTTGGGCTTTGAACCTCCTCAAATATTTCAGTCCTAGTTGGTGCTCTGTGGCTTCGGTGGGATCTGCGTGAACAAGGGCAGGGCCATTACAGGGAACTGATGAAGGCAAATGCTTTATTCCACGCTGCCCCAGTGTGCATCCAGCAGACACAGGCCTGTGTCTCACAGCTGCCGCTTCCAGTCAGGGAATTGAAACCAGGTCTACCCCATGACAGGGGGTGATACTAGCCACTATACTAACTGTCCTGGAGAGACTGTTTTTGTCTTGTGTGTGTCAAGATTCTTCAACTGAACAAATCGATGGGAACTTGCAGAGGTGCAGAGTTGTGGCAGAGTAGCAGAGTAGCAGAACAAAGCAAAGTCAGGGAGCTGCACTCCAGGGGACCAGAACTGCGACTACTTTTTGACTTTCGGGCTTAATTGAGTTGCCAAGTTGCGGAGTCTGGGAGTCCCAGACTCTCCAACTGGGCAACTCTGTTACTCTGCAGCACTGCCACTCCTTGCCTCCACAGCTCCGCAACTGTGCTTTGCACCGCTAAGCTGCCACTCTGCGACTCCACTGCTCCACCACAACTCTGCAACCCTGTACTCTCTGACTCTGCCTCTCTGCTGAACTCTGTTATGAAATATTGATACATAATGACGATGTGCACACTGTAATAGTTGCTAGGCAAGCGTGACTGGCACAGGGTAAAAACCTCTCCCATATTATCTGCTTGAGCAGAGGAGGAGGAAAACTGTTGACACTGGGTTTCTGTTCCACTTAATACTCAGAGTATTTGTCATCAGCGCAAGCCAGCGCTCAGGTCTGCATTGGTGGTGGCTTGCTCTCCCATGGGTATCGTGAGAACAATAACTGACAGTCACAATAGGTTTGGATCTGTCTTGTGCCACTCTGCTGTGACTCCACAACTCCAACACTCTCTGAAGGATGGCCTCCGCCGGATTTGGATCAGATATTGGAAGGTCTGTATCTGCATCGGGAATGCCAGAGAATACCACCCCAAGGTCCATGTCTGGCGGATACTGCTATCTGGTTCATACCCGCGCGTAAAATCGGTGGATACCCGCTGTAAACTATCTGCGTTTCTGCAGAATTTGCGCCTCCGTATCCGGAAAAGTCTGTATCCGCCGGAGCAAATATCTCCCGGATATCCGAGATCTAGCTTTTTGGAGGCCAACCTTAGCTCTGAGTGTGCGGTGTGCAGCCGTAGACCCAAGCGCTGGCTTGTGTTGTTGATAAATACTCTGAGTAGATGGTGGAATGGAAACCTGATGTAATCAGTTTTCCACTTCCTCTTTCTTTCTTTTTGAGAAATGCAATGTTCTCCGTGGATTGCTGTCAAACTCTCTCAACAGAGAATAATTATGCACGGGGTGGGACGCCGGGTGAAGGAGCTTTTCTTCTGGTTACATCGGCTAACCCAAGCGGGAGCACTGAGGAATTCAGTGTTACTTCGTCATTCTCGCCTTCACCTATCCGCCGCTCTCTGTCTTCTCTATATCGCACTGTCTCACAATTGTCTATCTCTCTCTCTCTCTCGTCGTCATTCCCACCGCTGCCTTTCTCAGCGCGTGCAACAGCAGTAAAACGGAAGCAACTTGGGAGGGAGCGAGGAGGCGAGCGAGAAAAAAAAGGGCCGCACAGAAGAATCAAAATGTCGAGACCAGAAAGAAATGAAAAGAACGAGAGAGAGATGAAAACGAGAGAACAGTAAACAGCAACTTATGAGGGGGCGAGTTCGTTCCCCCCCACCTTCCAGCCCGTTTCACTCTCATACGCCTCACACCAACGAAGGAAGCGTAAGAAGAAAAAAAAAGGGGGCGTACGCCGTTCTTTCGAAAGCACCAGTCAACAAGGGACAGCCGGAAGGGGTGAGAAGGGAAAGCAGGAGGAGACTGGTGAGAGAGGGGGGGAACAGGACGCAGACGAAGAGAGCGAAGGACGAACATTGTTGGTGTGCAACGAAAAGAGACCGAGGGGGTGGGAGAAAGGCGACGGAAGTAAGGGGCCCAACACAAAAAGGAAGAAATGAATGAATGAAAGGGAAAGCGAAACGGTGCGAGGGAGAAGTACCGCCCTCAACCACCAAACGAAACTAATTAGAAAAGCGAACAGAAAAAAAAAGAAAAGAAAAAAAAGGGAGATGAACGAACGCCCCTCTCATACCTGCCTGTCAGAGGAGAAAAGAAGAGGAGAGGCGAGGATAAGAGGATGAGGCACGAAAGGACAATAGAAACGACAGAAATGCCCAACGCGCTTCCATTACTCCCTCCACTCTTCCCTTTGCTGTCGGTGTACCACCGAAGATCAAAATCAACCAAAAAGAGGAGAAAAAAAAAAGGATCAGAAGAAAGAACGGAAAAGAACCACAACACACCAGAACACCAGTACCGAGGCGAAGAACGGTTGGTAACAGGTATAGAAACAAAAAATGGATTTTAGCGCCAGCGGACCTACCTGCATATAGCGGGCGAGGTCATCCTCTGGAGCCCGAATGGGAACAACAAGGGGGCGGGGGGTGGTGATTTGACCACCGGATCAACACAGAAACGGTGAACAATGCCAGCGTTGGGAGAAGAAGGAGTGGTCAAGGGCCGGGAGGCGCGCCCAAACAAAAAAAAAAAAACGGGTGCTAATAAGTTCGCAGATCTACCAGAGAAAGTACAATAACAAAAACCGACAAAGGCAACGGAAACCACTCGCGCAAGGGGGGGCAGGGGGAGGGGAGAGCAGCCTCGTACAGCGTTTGGGGGAAGAAGGGGTTTCAGGGGGCACAGTTTAAGGCTCTGTGCCGAAGACCTTGACAGACTGTTGGTAGTTGATGACGAACTGCGGTGCGTTTTGCACGCCGAGCGACACGGTAAAGTTGCCGTAGAAGTAGGCGTCCTCCGAAGTGCCCTGCTTCAGGAAGAAGAACGGGTACAGGACGGGGGAGGAGTTGCTGTTCCACTCGTGGAACTCGAACGCGGTGAGCTGGACCTTGTTGCCCGCCGGAACCCGCACTGGGGAGAAGTTCAGAGGAAGGAGCTGACCGACGGACGAACGACTGTCGCCTTGACCGCCGACGATGGGTCCAGGGACACCGAGTGCTTGAACTGCCGGGTCGGGGTCGGCACTCCACTGGGCCAGGGAGGTGCCAAGTCCAAGGCAGTGAAGCTCGGCGGAGAAGGTTTGGATCCACAAGTCGACTGGGAGAGGGTTCGTGATGGTGAGGATGTTCCCGTCGCGGCCGGTCGTTCCCTCAATCATCCAACTGACAACGGTGAGAGGGTCTTGGATCAGCTGGAAGCCAGCTTGAGGAACAACGACCGATTGGTTGAGGTTGATGTTCTTGATGAACGGAACAAACGCAGCACGGTTGCTTGGGTCGCCGTTGGTCGCCTGGCTACCTTGAATGAACGGCGCAAGGTTTTCCCTTGGCTGTGCACCGGGCTGGACGTAAGTTCCGGTAACATCCGGCTCATACCGGAGGAAGTTGAAGCCAATGTAGCGAGAGAAGAACGCGCTGAAATCGGAGCTTGTAATGGCAGAGGCTGGGAACGTAACATCCGTTGTGAAGGCATTGGTCGCAAGGCCGAAAGTGCTGAGCAGGACGTTGTTGACCCGAGTATTGCCGATGATTGTGTTATTAAAGTGGAAGTCGAAGAACAGATTCCCAAAGTTGAAAGTGTTGGGGCTCGTGTAAGGGATTGTCGTAGTGAAAGACATGGTGATGCTGTTGGCATCGGCTCCCGAGATGGTGGGGTAGGTGATGGTTGTGCCCGTGAACTTGTTGAGGCCTATTTCCATTGATGGGTAAGGTTGGAAGGTTGGTGAGCAAACGGATTCGCCAGTACCACGAGAACGCAGTATTCTGACCTGGCAGTGTTCCGACAGCAACAGCATTCTGGACTGCAATATCGTTGAGGCAGAACGTGTAGGCCTGGTTCAGCGCACCCGATATGACGGGAGCATTGATGGTGGTCGTCGTGAACCCGGTGGTACCGTACGACAACGTTGCAGTGGACGCCGAGTTGACGACGGAGTCCAACCAGCTGCCAAAGTTGGCATTCTGGGCAGATCCGTCGAGAATGGCCCTGGAGAACGTGTAGGTAACAGACGTGTTGCCCCCGCCGGGGGCAGTTGTACCCGACGACGGCGTCGTAACATTGATGTAGGCAAACAATGGCGTTGCAGCGGTGTTGGTGACATCCCGCACTTCCAGAGTGTGGTTGAGCTGAGCGAAGGAGAGGAGCTGGGAGTTGAAGTTGCTGCCCATGTTGAGGCTAGCAACGATACCGTTCATTGTCAGCTCCGGTCGGTAGCCATCGGTTGACGGGGTGAAGTCGAGGGTGAAATTGGGGTAGGAGATCCTCGAGACGAGCTGAACACCTTCGCTGTTGGGCAAAATCACACCTTTGCTGTTGCAGTTGCTTAAGTAGATTTGGGACTAGTGGTGTAAGAAGAGTGTTAATAAGCGGATAAGAGAGCTTAAAGAATCGCACGGCCGCAATGAACTGAGGGAGTGGTGGAAGACAGGCGTGCAAATAGACAGACACTCCAAGGGAAAAGGGCCATCGGTTTGCCAACGCACGTCAGTCCACCTCCCATCGTCGAGGAACAACCAACCCCCTGAAACCCGCCCACGCACTGGTCTACACTGAGTAGGACTTCCAACAACGCAATCTGACGGCCACTCGACGACTTCGATCGGGAAAGTGTCTCAAATCACAAGCCCGATCCTGCCTGCTTCGACCCATCCAACATCCATCCACCAGCTGGCTGATTTCGCTGCGATAGCAAGCACCGTTGCGGCATAGAAGAACACAGGTGCTGGGAGGTGGCTGATGCATCTGCTGGGTACGCCATGATTGCAAGGGGATCGGGGATTGCAGGCAGGCGCATGCAAAGCGGGAAAAGATAATAGAAGGATGAGGGAAAAGGGACGAGGGAGAGCCAAAGGATCGACGGAGCAAGGATGAAGGGGGTGAGGAGCTACAGCATTTGCCAAATCGCTACCTGGGCGGAGACGATGGCGGGGAGGACGCCGGCAACGACGGCGGCTGCAACGGAGCCGTGGGTGGTGAACTTCATTGGGTGGTGGTCGCTGACGTTGGCCGTCTGATGATGGGCTCTTCTTGTCTATGGTGAGGAGAGGGTGGGAATGTCTATCTCTTTTTTTTTTTCCCTTTTTTTTTCCCCCCGTTTTCGTTTCAGTTTTCGTTTCACGGTTGTTTTCCTTTTATTTTTTTCCACCTCGCTT